TCCTAGAATGAAAGTTTCAACTACTTTGGGAGATAAGCTCACAACAATATTCCTGCATACAACAAAATTTTTAAAGAACATTATAGACATCCTAATTTCCCCCACTGCATTGGAGCTATATAAAATTAAAATGAGTATCTTCAGATTTTAGATATTAAAAAGGGAAAATTTAATTCAACAAATATCTCAATGTAAACAATCTCCACCAGATTTTACATTTATTCTGTAGAGATTTTGTATAAATTGTCTTTTAGCACCTTAAAATATCCATAGTTGTTATTAAATAATAACCATCATTTTGGGGATCTTTTAAATGTGATTGAAAATTTTTTCATAGTACAATAACATGCACACGTGGAAGTCACTTTGACAGTGGATTCCAGTGAAAGATGATGTAGCCAGTGCAAATTAATTTAAAATTGTTCAAGGTCATCTCACTGGTTCATGAGCAATAGCCAAACATGACAATTCTCTCAACTGAAGATGAGAAGAGCTATAAGTACCTTTTTAAAACATAATATTAGGGGCCAGGGTTGTGGCTCAGTGGTAGAGTGCTTGCCTAGCATGCACAAGGCACTAGGTTTGACTCCTGGACACCATATAAAAAAAAATCAACAAATAAATAAAAGTAAAAATAAATAAAACAGTATTAATTTGCTTTCATAAAAGTCATGAAAGTAAACTTGTACTGAATTCTGGTTTTGATATAAATGCAATGTTGAAACCTAAAACAGTGTCATGAGTTTTAGGTGATCCACTTTCAATTCACCATTGTTTTTCAACTGCTTTCATGTGGGGGAGGAAATTAAACACTAACTATAAAAACTTGTGGGCTTCCATCTACTGACCCTTCCCCCTGGCCTTCCTCTTATTTCCCCCTGGCAAGTTCTGTGTCCCAGATCATGAAACACAGCTAGGTGGATAGGTCCATTCTGCCCCAATTGTGGGTGTTCCTTTCTTTGCATGTGTCCTGGGGATTTCTCTCTAGAAACTACCCATGTCTGCACAAAACATCTCCTCCCTCATGCTGCAATGATGAGCCTCCACCTGCAATAAATGGGTCATTCTGTCCAAGTCCTGCTGAAATATGACATGAGGAAGGAAAGAAACCCTTGGGAATGGCCTATTTGAGAAAACATTCCTGAACAGCCAGGGACAAAACACCCTCCCTAACCATCAGGGTCTTCAACAGGCCTTTTCCTCACCATGAGGCACCGGCTCCACCAAGTGGAGGGAAGTATGATTGTGTGGGATTTCTATTTTACATTTCACTCTGTAAATGATCACCAAGGCAAACTGGTTTTATGCAATGCAAACAACATTGACTCACTGTGATTCTGCAAAAACAAAAATTCTGAAAATAAAATAACTGCCATTCAAAATACTCATCAGAGGAACTGGATAATAGAATATTCTGTTAGTGGGAATATAAACTGATAAAAATCACTTTGGGAAACGGTTTGAAAGTGTGCTTAAAATTTGAACACACAGCCAGGAATGGTGGTGAGCACCTGTGATCCCAGCTACTTAGGCAGGAGGATCACAAGTTCTAGGCCATCCTAGCCAAATTGGCAAGAACTTGTCTCAAAATTAAAAAGCACTGGAGTCATGGATCTTTGGTAGAGCACTCCCCTAGCATGCCTGAGGCTCTGACTTCAATCCCCAGTCACACACACACACACACACACACACACACACACACACACACACGTTGAACATCTGTTTACCCACATGATCTGGTATTAAATTAAGGGAAATAAAAGTGCTTACAATGTCTTTTTCAGAAATGCCACTGCAGATGACAATTTCAGGAAACACTGCAGATATCCATTAGCAGAGGAATGCACGAATAAACTGTAAACTACCTATGCACTGCCATGCAAGGCTGAAGTGCAGGCATAGGAAAAGCATAGAAAAATCTGAAAATAGTTACTGAGGTGAAACAAAAAAGAGCGAATACTCTATGGTATTTTTTAAATGCAAGATGCAAATTAATAAAAAATGACAGAAAGAAGATGCATACAGGCTTATGTTGCTCCTTGCCATTCTTCAGGGAAACTCTGTCCTCTCAGAATGGAGAATTTAACCATGGATATGTCAGGGCCTGAGGGAACAACAATACTGTTAACTCCTGGAACAGAAAGGAAGCCCTAGTTGCCCTGTTTTATAAATTATGTTGATGGGTACACATGTGTGTGCACACTTACAGTGATAAGAAGCATTCAAATAATGCATTTCTACTCAGCAATATAGAGAATAGCCTAAAAATCCTTTCATGAAAGAGAAAGAAAATGAAACACAGCACAAATAGGCAGTTTGATATACCCAGGCACCCCCAAATTGGAACAGGATGTTTCCTTGGGATCTTTGCACAGGATCACAATTTTTACTAACCTTTTCACCCCACCCAATCCCTCCCCCAAATTCTGTCACCCTTGTCTCTAAGCTCCTAACAAAATGAAGCTCCCACATGGACCATGAGCAGGTGAACAGGAGGGATGGACACACAAATATTACATGAAAGCTTTTTGGGGCTTCAGCAGGAGCAATGTGCACAACACCAAAGGGAGAAGCTCCCACATGGACCATGAACAGGTGAACAGACAACCCCAGCCAGGGCAAAAAAGGAGACTGGACCAGGACAGAAACAGCATCCCCCAGTAGAGACCATCCCAAACCTCGTCTCAAACCATTGTTTTGGAATCTTTCTTTTAATATTTGTCCCAATTTCTTCTCCCTTGATAATTTTCTAGGGTCAGGAACTCTTTCATTTCTTTCTTTCTCTTAATCTATTTCAAACCCTCTCCTAGGGGGCATTTTTTTAGGACCTGCCCCTGAGATCATGTGAAAAGAAGAAAGCAGCCTGGACCTCCAGCAGCTGGCCTATCAGTGGGGCCTGCTGTTGCCAGGACCAGGTTTGACACTCACAGTCTGGCCCTCAAGGTGACACTTCACCTTCATTAAGGCGAAGAATAAACAATTTCATGGAGAATCAACATGCACCAAATTCAATGTGAAATGAGTAATCAGGACCAAAAATGAAGTCTGATCTCTAACCATGTCTGAACACAGATGAAAGGTGAACATAAATTAATTCATATAAGCGACCAACATCCCCTATCTGGTGAACTTAGGTGACTGCTGCTTCACCCCCAATTAACATTCACCTCCCTCCAGTCTTCCCTTTTCTGCATAAGATGTAAGAAGACCACCACCAATAGAATTCCCCTCTGTCCTTAAATGTCCCTCAAGCTCCAAGTCTTTTTAATACTCTTTACCAAAAGTGATCCCAGTGTTCCCCTGCTGTTTTCCCTGAGTGATATGGGGACTACACTCAAGTGGTGTTAAACACAGTTGGATTCTTCATTTTGGTTTTGGTTTTGTCTAAGGGTCCCTGACAGCATGCATGAAAACAGAGATCTCTATTCAGGATGGTTAATTTTGCCAGGGAAGTTGAGGAATGCAGTTATTCAATGTAGTAAGAACTGAACTGGACTGTAAGAAGCAGCCTTGGCCACATAAAAAATAGGTTCATTCAGAGAAAAAGTTCTTGTCAGAGCCACAGATCAAGGGCTAGAGCAGGTCCACAGAGGGAGATGAGAACAGCCCCCACTTGGTGCACCAGGCTGTCAAGAGAGAGGAGCCAGAGCCAGGAAAGGCCCCCAGAGGAGCTCTCCTCTGCAGGCCAGCAACTCCCCTCAAGGGTGCAGTGGCTATTCCCACTGGAAAGATTGCTCTGTGTATGGACTGACCCTGCCCTACCCAGCACACATCCAGTGGGGTCCAGCCACTGTGATCATGAGAACCAAGCTTGATATTGTTAACACACGCACAAGGTGTGGGGACGATGTTCTCACAGAGATGACATGTTCAGATCTGCAAAGTCACGAAGATAGATGGGACACCACAGGGCCACGCTACGCTTTGCCCCTTCTGTTTCTAAGGGTCCCTGGAGAAGTTTCTCAGGGATATG